TGTTAAAGTTATTGATGAAAGCAAGTGGAAGGAGTGCTGGGCGATCTCATTGTCACATATAGACTCCTTCCTTTTTCCAATAGACAGTCCAACTCATAGCTTTGAGGTTATTCATCCCTCTTCATCTGTAGGATGTAATACGTTGTCTCTAGCATGAGGTTTGAAGTCTGTGTAGTTTCTCATACCTGACATCCATAGGAGTTTTCTTGCAATCGGCTGGCGACAGGGAAGAGAAGCCCACAACCCTTCAGCTTCCCAAGAACCATTTGGTTAAACTGCTTTTATACCATTTTATATAATATCTTTATATAAAATAAAGTCATGCTAGGGTTTTTTGGAAACACTATTTCTGGTGAAAAACTGGATACAGAAAGAGTGTTTCAGATTATGTCACTTATGACAAATCAACCCTGGCGATCAATGGGGTGACAGATGTCGCAGCCATATCGCCCTCACATCCATCTGGCACTTACCATGGATCCACGGAAGCTGTCCAATCAAAGTTCTTAAGGCAAATTTTCTCTGTACCACTCTGTGTTCCAAAAGCATCATTGCACCTAGAGGCCAATCTCCCCTTGGTAGAAATACAGATCTGGCGCAGGACATTCAACTTCTGGCTCCACTTAAACTCAAATCCCCCCGGTCTAATATCCCTAGTGCAACAAGACTGTCATAAGAGTGCTTGGTCCAAAATTGTCTATCAAAATCTGCACTCTTGTGGTTTATCCCCACAACAGCTACTCAACATGGGTTACAGCAAAGCAAACAGTCTATTTTGCCAACTTGGCCACCATAAGGAAATTTTGCCCATGGTATGATCATTTTCCATCCTCACACTTTGACTCTCTGGCACCCTATCTGTATAATCTAGCAATTCCAAAATATAGACGTGCCTTCACCCTCGCAAGACTGAATGTATTGCCCTTGGCTGTACTTGAGGGATGATTCCAACAGATTCCATACGAAAAACGCTTACGTCCCTGTGGAGATGGCGGCACCGAATCAGTGGCGCATGCCCTCCTCGCGTGCACTCTCTACAAAGACCTGAGGAATGAGATTATCACGCCTCTTTTATTGACCATTCCGGGTCGCCCAACCACTGCCACAGTGTCGTTTCTCCTGGCAGATCAAGAGGAGCAGATGGCTGCAAAGGTTGCAAGGTTTCTAGCTGGGGCAATCAGAATAAGGTCCGCTATTTGACTGCTGATTCAGAACCCTAAACTGTGTTTTATATAAGCGACTTTTTCTTTTATTCTGTGTATATCGCAATGTTTTTTTGTTGCTATGGCCGATGGCTGACGCAAATAAAGTTTCATTCATTCATGTCTATTATGCCATCAATGGACTGCATGCTTGCATTTGCAGCGAGGATGGCTTTTCAACAATCACATTCAATTTTTTTCCTTTCAGAGAGAGAAAGGCAGCAAACCATTTTAGTCCGGTCCATAAGAAGTTGTACTGAATTCAATGGGCTTACTTCCAGGTAAGGGCGGCAAGAACTGCAGCCTTAAAATGCTACTCGGGAGTCTTTCGAGATCTATGTTTCAAAACAAACCATCAACACCCACCTCTTGAGACAATTCAAGTGCCTGCATGTTCATTCTCCCTGCTCCAAGAGCTTTGCCCATTGAGCTTTTCAATGGATGTTGCAACCACTCCAGCCATTGGGCAATTAATTCTCAGTCATAATGTCCATTTACAAAAAAATGGACTATCCTTCTTTTGCTATTTATCTCAATAAAGCACTGTAATCAACTGACTCATTAATGCAGAAAATAATTTTGAGGCCTCTGCTCGGAAAAATGCTCGTTGCATCTAAATTCCCTTTTGAGCAGCTGCCACTTCAGATGTTCCTATGGCATCATGGTTGTATTTACTTAATGTGTTTCTTTGGGCAGCTGTCATGCACGGCTGCTGAACATCCTGTTTCTGCAAAAGGTAGCTTCATATGGCAAATTATAGTGAGCCCGGGAGGGAGGAGGGAGGTTGGCTTGTTCCAAACTCAGGCAGGAATCACATGGCTCGGGGAGAAGTGGCTCAGAACATGGAGGAAATAAATAGGGTTTTCGGGGGGGGAGAGGGTTCCCCAATTGGAAGTGTGAAGAAGTGTACACTTTCATAAAGCATCAAAAACTCTTCTCCTAGATCCACTTCTCATTTAAAATATGAAAGCCCATATTTGAAGCCCCAATCAATGGACACATGAAGCTTAATGGCAGACGCTTCAATTGCCCAGGCCCCACAATAGCCTTGAGGAGTTTAATTCGCTTTCAAGGTGGCCATCATCACGAATCAGAGTTATCAAATTACTTGTCAGTCCAGAGGACAATAGGCTCTTGATTCAGGTGGGATGAAATGTGGAGCAAGGTCAGCATCTGCCAGGCTAGGGGACAGAGAAGGCATCTTTGTGTTGTATGCCTGGCACTTTCCCTGCACAGTGTGTTTCACTGACCTTTATACTGAATGGTTTGTTCATTTTAAAAGAAATTACTTACCACTTTACTAAGCCAATTGAAGCAACTTACATCAACGTAGCAGACAGATTTTTTAAATGCTAGGGCATTATTTTGTTAAGAAAATGAAAATAGCAAGGACAATATGTTTCCAGAGACCCAACGCCTGACATTATTAAAGTGGGCTGGGGAGGTTTATTGATTTCAGGGGTCCTTGAGTGTGTTTGGAGGAAGAGAATCTCCTGAGGGTGTCCCAAACAAAAGAAGCCAATCTCAGCTTGTTCCTGTATCTCCGTTTTGTCCAAATTGTCCAAATTGTCCAAATTATCTCCACTTCACTTGAAGTGGTGGAAGTAGAAGGTACAGCCCAGCCTCCCTCTTCATGTCTAAATGCCAAGTCACCTCAGTTTGGAGTTATACAGATGTAAGGAAAAGGCCTGTACAAGAGCCAGAAGGTCTCGCATTTTGTCAAAGCAGGTCAGTCTAGAAGCAGTTTCACAAGTGATGCTTAACAGTGGGAGGAAGAGGAGAGTCATTTGTTCATTTGACTTTTCCTGGCACAGAATTTTAAAAAAAAACTGCCCTGGCAACAATGAACATTTTATTTGATTTCATTTTAAAACAAACGTATCCCTCTGTCTCATGCATCAGAATTATGATGTTTCCAACTTTTTCAGACAAAAACATTGGATCAAAAAAGAAGGGGAAATATCCCGACCTAGGTTTGTCATTCACATGTAACAATGAGAAAATGATCATCAGGTAATGTGAACTGAATTTTCAAGTTTGGGAAATGAGACATGGATGGGAAATGGAGGGACACTGTGGCTTAGGGTGGCACCATTGGGAAGGATCCTCCCTCCCCCCCCCAAAAAAAAAACAGATACCAGCCTCAGAAAGCTCATTTTCCTGAGAAACATGGCAGGGGACAAAAGGGTTAACTTTTCTCCTCCAGGCCTGCTTTGTTCTCATTAATTATCTCCACCCCCACCCACTGATGCAATGCTTGCCTATAGTACACATTCTTATATTATCTGCATATACACTTCATGTTTCTTAAAACACCCACCACATAATGAGATACTTACAACAATGCTTACAACTGTATAAAGATATGTATGTTTTGACATCATTATAAAATTATACTGCAGATATACAGCATGAAGAGAGAGAGTTTTGCACTCAGGTCTGACCTATGGGTTTTCTGGAGGCAACTGGTTGGCTGTGGTGAGCAGGGGCGTAGGAATGGGGGTGCGAGGGGTGTGGTCCGCTCCAGGTGTCTTTCTTGAGGGGGGTGACAAAACGCACACTGTGGGGGGTGGCACTTACTGTGGGGCCTGGCCTGCAGCGCGCCCGAGCCACGTGTCTCTCCTGGGAGTGACACGGTGGCTCGGGGCCCCATGCTGCTCGAAACGGCAGCGTGGGGCTTGCGTTCACCAGGTGGACTCTGTGGGCAGCTGTCTGTGGCGCCTCCTGGGCGGATCACCACGGCGCCCCTGAGTGCAGATCGCCGCAGTGCCCCCGTGGGCGGATCGCCATGGCACCCCCGTGGACAGATCTCCCGACCTCCATTGGCGGATCACCTCGCCCCCATGGGCAGATCGCCCCGTCCCTGCTGCTCCAGGTGCCAGAGCAGCTATCTACGCCCCTGCTGGTGAGAACAGGATGCTGGACTGCATAAGCCATTGGCCTGATCCAGCAGGAAGAAAAAGAGAAGAAGAGTTTGGATTTGATATCCTGCTTTATCCCTACCCTAAGGAGTCTCAAAGCGGCTAACATTCTCCTTTCCCTTCCTCCCGCACAACAAACACTCTGTGAGGTGAGTGGGGCTGAGAGACTTCAGAGAAGTGTGACTAGCCCAAGGTCACCCAGCAGCTGCATGTGGAGGAGCGGGGACGCGAACCCGGTTCACCAGATTACGAGCCCACCGCTCTTAACCACTACACCACACTGGCTCTCACACAGGCTCTTCTTCTGTTCTTCTCCACGTCTCCCTCACTGCAGTGTTTCTCTTTGAACTCCTCTCACTGCGTAATAAAACTCACCCAACTCTTTCTCCATTCCTTTCCTACCCTACTCCAATTCTAGCCAGTGGTGTGTGGTGTCAGACTAAGGACCTGCTTGACCAGGGTTCAAATCCCCACTCAGCCACGAGGCTCACTGGGTGACCGTGAGCCAGTCGCTGCCTCTCAGCCTAATGTACTTCACAGGGTTGCCGTGGGGATTAAATGATGAGAAGGAGAACCACGTGCACTGCCTTGAGGAAATGTGGGATGCGTATGCAATAAAGAAATAAATAAGGAATCCACCATTTGCAAAGCAGCAACAGTACTTGAAAGCAAGCTATATTCCCATAGGGAAGAAATTGTGTGCTGTTTGCCTTCATTCATATAATTAATTCTGGCTACAAGTTTTATGTGGCATCATTTGGGTTTCATTAAACTTAGCATCCAATACCCCTTGCGCATGCTCACATGTTAATTACAGTACAAAGAGAAACTTTCAACATTCACGAAAGAGGCCACAGCAGCTGGGAAAAGCCCATATTTACAGCACCACGCTAGCCACGATGCAATTGGTGGCTGGTCCTATTTTTTTCCTCGGCCAGGCAAACATTTTCTTCAGCTCCCCCCTGAAGCTGTCGTGCAGCCAGGCATAAAGGAATGCATTTGTGCAGGCAGACATCATAGCAAACCAGTGGCAAAGCAGCTGGATGAGATTGAAATACTGCTTGTCTATCAGCTTGATATCGATGTCCTTGATCACATTAAAGATGTGCAAAGGCAGCCAGCAAACCCCGAAAGCAACCACCACCAGGACCAGCAGGCGAAAGGTCTTCCTCCTCCGGGCTCGGTCGCACTCCGCTTGGTTCTGGGTGACGTTGCCAGGGACAACTCTGTTTTTCAGCTTGATGGATATCCTCAGGTAGGAGACAGAGATGACTGCCAAGGGCAGGACATAGGTGAAAATGAGGGTGTTGTAGGCATAAGCTAAGCGATCTCTCTTCCTGTCAAACCAAAATTCTTCGCAGATGGAGAAGTCCAGCTCTGGAAACTCGGCATAGTACGTGCGCAGCAGGGCTGGGGCAGCCAGTACGCAGCTCAGCAGCCAAATGCCAGCCAGGATATAGGTGCAGATTGGTATCGTGAGTCTCCTGCGGAGGGGATACACCATGGTGTAGTATCTGTCCACGGCAATGACAGTCAGGGTGAAGACAGACACAAACACCGTGACTGGCTGCATCAGGAACACAAAGTAGCACATGAAGTGCCCGTAGACCCAGCCTCGGGGCTCAAAGGCATACGCCAGGGTCAGGGGGACGCAGGTGGCACACATGAGCATGTCCGAAAAGGCCAGGTTGCCTATCAGGAAGTTGGTAACATTGTGCATCTTTTTGGTCTTGCAGATAACGTAGATGAGGAGGTAATTCCCAATGATGCCCACGAAAACCACAAGGGAGTAGCAAGGGATGATAAGCGGCTTGAAGAACTGAACCAGCTGGAGCCCCAGGAAGAGATTGCTGGTATTGCTGTGGGTTGCTGAAAGAAAGCTCTGGGAAGTCAGATTCTCCAGATTCATTGTCTTTTTCCTTTGCAGTTTTGGGTCGACTAGAGCACAAACATACACGCACGCACACTCATTCACTTTGGGTCAGCTTGAATGAATAATAGAGTTGCCCCCATAGGGAATATATGCTCATCTGCAAAAGAAAAGAAAAAGCCTTGACAGCTGGGTGTGTTTTCTTTTTCTCCCAAGTGCAATTTGATTACTGGTGTTCTCTTTTTCATTGCACGTTAACCCAGTAACTTCACAAGCATGCAGTTTAATCGGTAAAAAATGAGGGTACTTACAGCTGTTGTCTCCAGAAGTCATTTGATTTTCTCGTGCATGTCAGTTTGCAACTACTGCTTCCGATTTATCTCCCCCACGAATCCATGGCCAGCAGAAAGTGTGTGCATGTGCGCGTGTATGAGAGAGAGAGAGAGAGAGAGAGAGAGAGAGAGAGAGAGACTGCAAGTGAGCTGTGTGATATATCATAAAGCTAGAGAGCAATGCTTTTAGCAGCTTTCAGTACTTACTCATCACACATTTCTGCAGGGTATATCCCCATTGGCCAGCCACAGCATTACGTTGTTCCTTACGTGCCATCATTCAATCAGTTATAGTTTGTGAAGTCTAAGTTTTTCTCCTCATCCTCTGGTGCATCATCATTTTACAAAAAATAAATAGACCTGCTGACTTTAAATGAGTGGAAATAATACTAAAAGGCTGAAGAGCTATCAATGCCGTTACCACTAGAGGGACTCAGCTACATGAAAGTTGGGAAATCTGGTCTGTGGCTCATGAATATTGAAGAATATTTAATTATGGGTGAGTGTCAGTTTCTCTCATTACTAGGCATTCCGTAAAACCAGAATTCTAACCTCTGGGTTGTTTTCATATATTCAGCCCAGCTGTAGTGCAAAAAAAAAAGAAAAGCAAAGTATATTCTGAATCTGATGGATTGACAGTTCTCAAAGTGGGATGACATTTTTGTTTTCAAAAGATGTTTGGTTGCATCGTGCTAGGGAGTCTGGTAGTTCATTTATTCCTTATTTAGTATTTCAGCATTTAGGGCTTGTCCACCCTTCCTTTTATTCCATGCTTTCCAAGCACGGCCCATGCTTAAAGTTCAGTGTCTCAGCACTTTTTTGTTGTCCCAGAGCATTCCCCATGAAAAACCCACTGTCTGCTGCTGATCTGGAGCAAACAGTAACTTGTGGAAAACCTGAATTGCAGTTTATTGCGCTTCAGCTTTAAAGAGAGGAGTTTTCATGTGGAAAGCTCTAGGGCAGGGGGAGAGCTTGGACACAGAGCTGTAAAGTACAGGTCAGTGCCTGGAAAGTATGAGGCAAAACTTAATAGGATTATTTTGACTTTTGTATTCACACTGTTACTCTTTCTGCCTGTTATCCATTGCTATCATTCTTTTGTTTGAAAATGATCCCGGTAAAAGACATCCAGATCAAATGATCCCAATAGAATACTTTGCCCCCTCCACTGTAGAACAAAGGGGGGGAAATGTGTTTTAATGTTTGATTGTTTTTACCAAGTGATAAACCATGGTCGTGATGTCTTTCTTAAATCTCACAGATATTATAATTATCAAAGTAAGTCCTCCCATTTTCTCCCCCCTCTTTTTGTTTTGTATTTGGTATCTCGGGGCATGAATGAATCAAGATCAACACTAGACGCCACCGTATCAGCACAACATTGGGTGGATTACTACGCTGAACTTCTTGGAGAACAGACAGGGCAATCACCCGATGCCAAGGTGATCATTGATCAGTCAAATTTTCCAGAGTGGCAAGCGGTGACCCCTGCAGGGATAAAATCTCTGATAGAGAGCTTAAAACTAAATAAAGTGCCAGGTGAAGAGATGATGCCACCAGAGCTAATTTAAGACACATATGGACTGGTGGCAACCCATCTTGGCTAAGCTCTACACCTACATAAATAATACAGCTCAAATGACAGCTGGTTGGAAATTGAACATCATCGTGCCAATCTACAAAAAAGGAGATAAAACCCTCCCCCAAAACTACCCCCCATTAGCCTGCTGGATATCCCCTCCAAACTCTATGCTCGTCATCTGCTCACCAAAGTACTTAGATGGCCATGCTATTATTTGCTTTACAAAATAGAAAAAAAACCAAGAACCAGTAATTTGATTTATTGTAGTTCACCTTATAATCCCATGCCCATGGACACAATACTAAACAGCTCAGATCACAAAGGGAGTTGCCTTTTAGTCTTTGTCTACCAAAGTTAATGGAGTGAGGTTGTAAACAAAGCTCTCCTGAAATGAAAGTAAACAGTCTGGAGGCTGGAATGCAGGCTAGAGAGACCTTTGCTTATACGTCTGCCTGGATTATTTCATATTTTCTAAGATGCTGAGCCTGTGCTGGGCAGCACAAGACATTGTATGGATATTTTGGCTCTAACATTTGATGTATTCTGTTTTATTTTTAAGAGTTCTGCCAGCCAGAGCCATCTTTCCCATTGGGTTTACTGGCGCGTTGCACCAGGGCGCCATCCTCTCAGGGACGCCCCAGCGAGTTGGGGAGCTGCGTGGCTTTGCCGGCGGCCTTCCCTTCCTCTCCTGCACTCCTGCCAGCTGCACCCTGTCAACCAGATGGCTGGCGGATATGCAGCTTCCTTCCCAAGCCCCCGCGGGAGGAGAGCGATTCCCGCCAACTTTCGGAAACAGGGGGTGGGGCACTGGAGGAATCTTTGCACCACGGCATCAGATATGTTTAAGATGGCGCTGCTGCCAGTAAAAGTTTGGATAACATTTTTATGGATAATACATTTATTTCAAAAGAAGTCCGTTCTTATGTTTCCAGTCGCTTCAAACTGAGCAATATTAATATCTGCAACACCCACATCCTCCCTTACCTCTGTGTATTTTTCCAGGCTGACATTTACAGCGAATCGAGCAAACTGAAAATTAAACAAGCAAACACCCACAAACTTTGCCTGTCCATGTGCAGGACGCAAGTGGAGGAAGACTTGTGAAGAATCCAGTTGAATACTTGTATGAATTATGGAGCTTTTTCAGAGTGGCTTATGGCCTTTTAAACATGATGCAGTAGATTAAGTGGTGGCCTGCTAGGAGAGGTTTTTGCTGTGAGGTATTTTGAGGGTAAAATTGCTAGCAGCCAATTATGGTAGGCCAGTCCATGAAGCTGCCCAGAGCATTGGCTGGTTGTATATTACTGAATTATCTTTGTTTGTGAGGCCCAAAAATGTGGGCAAGGTGCTTTATCAGGTTCATGGAACCACATGTTCAGTGGATCCTTGCCTTTCACGACTTATAGCCTCTAGTAGGGAGAAAATGAACGAATAGGTCCAGAAGTCCTTTTAGAGAGAAAGTGGTCCTGACATTGTTAAAGGACGTGCTAGTGGAACCACTGTGTGGATTTCCAGCAGCTCACAAATCTTGTGAAAGAGTTTTGACTCAAAACTTGCATTCTGGTCTGTATGCATCTAGGTGTGCCATGCATACAATGCATTTCTCAACAAAAACCAGGACACAGCAATGGTTTCCTGGTCTGGAAGGACAAAGGCCTCAGCCCATTTGGAGTAGTCAATGACTACTAAAACATAATGCAGGTAAAATAGCTGTTCAGGGCTTTTTCTTTCTTGAATTCTTTATATAAATTAAAACTTAATACAAAATGGTTGCCCGATTCAAACTCATGGAAGCTGGTGCATTCTCTTCACGAGAAAGTTGGATTTACTCATTTGCCGGGCTAATGCATGCTAACAGCATTCAGATCACCACTGTATGGGGACATATTACAGAATTTACAATACAGGCCTGAGAGGTAGTGTGTCCATACTCACTATAGAATGCTTCAGTAGCAGTGTTGCCACAGTGGTGCTAAATATTGGATTAGTTTAACACTGCAGGCACAAATGTGGCATTTTGATGCAGCAGATTAGCACAAATACTTAGTAGTGAGGAGTCAGGAATTCAACAGGAAAAATAAAATATCAGAACATTGTTTAATTTCTAATCATGTTCCAGACCGTCACCTTCCTTCTGACTCCAAGCAGTGTCTGTAATGTTTCTGCCCTCTCTTCATCTCAAAATACTTATTAACACTTCCTGACATTATCTGAACCTCTGGCTGTGGGCCACCTACCAGTAAACTAGAGGATTTTGGCTTTAAGCTGATTTTAGTTCAATTAGAATAAATTGACTTAAATACAATACTCTGTAACTGGATTCCGGATTAGACTGTGGGCCGTTTCTGTGATCACAGCAGCATTTTTCCCCCTCCAGCCAATGTAATCAAGGCTGATTTGGACTGTATTTGCTTCCCACCTTCTACATACTGAAACCTCTTTATGCAGAAGGGGCCTCACAGAGAACATAAACAGCCAACTAGCATGTGCAAACCCTCCCTGTTTACCCGTTTTGTGAATCCAATGTATTGTGGGACTACCAAACAATTCCTGCATATTATTTAAAGTTTAGAGTAGCGAAAGACTTCAGGAAATAGGTATTCTCAGACTCTGGTGTTTGTCATCAATTAATTAGTCAACAACGGTAAGAAAAAAGAATCACTGCTGTAGCTGTTGTGAAAATGTTCTCTAAATTGGCTGCAAACTGAAACTCTGGAGAGAGACTGGCAATTCTCCCCTGTTGACTGACACAATTAAAGCATCACAGGTCTGTTCCTCTCTGGCTGCTAGTGAAGCTACTGATAGTGTATTAGACAAGATGGCAATCTTTAGGTGGCTGGGAGATAGGGTGCTTTATTCCTCCAGCTACTGAGCTGAATTCACACAATCTCCGTCTCCTGCCTCTAAAAATAAATGAACGAATCTGCTGCTGCTTGGCAGGCTGCAAAATTTTGCCTTGATACAGCAGACTTTTAAAGATGATGACAGTGATGATTTCTTTATCTCATCTTTTCTCCCAGATCCACAGGGGAGCTCACATGCTCCTGGCACAGTATACCTTTGGGGTAGGCTAAGGCCAGGGTTAGTGATTGACCCAAAGTCATCCAGTGAGAATTGTAAGCACACAGTTTTAGAATATACAATAAAACAATCCCTTTTAAAACAACACAGTAATTAAAACAGGCGACCCAGTCTGAGAGCTCAGGAGAATGCCTGCATAAACAGGTGTGTCTTCAAAAGACAGCAGAATGCCAATATAGATAGGGCTTTTCATATATCAACAGGGAGTGCATTCCACAGCATCATCAGTGATAGAGCCCACCTCTGCATCACAACAACCATTAGCCAGAAATAATAATAATAATAATAATAATTTATTTGTACCCCGCCCACCATCTGGCTGGGTTTCTCCAGCCACTCTGGGCGGCTTCCAACAAAGACCAAAAATACACTAAGATGTCACACATTAAAAACTTCCCTGAACAGGGCTGCCTTCAGATGTCTTCTGAATGTCAGGTTTATCTCTTTGACCTCTGGTGGGAGGGCGTTCCACAGGGTGGGCGCCACTACCGAGAAGGCCCTCTGCCTGGTTCCCTGTAGCTTTGCTTCTCGCAATGAGGGAACCGCCAGAAGGCCCTCGGCGCTGAACCTCAGTGTCCGGGCAGAACAATGGGGGTGGAGACGCTCCTTCAGGTATACTGGGCCAAGGCCATTTAGGGCTTTAAATTGTGCTCAGAAACTTTGAATTGTGCTCAGAAACGTACTGGGAGCCAATGTAGGTGCTTGCTTTCTGCTAACCTGTAATACGGAAAGAGGAACTATGGGCTATTATAGTCAACTCCTGCCTCCCTTTTGTGAGCCTCTTATACTGACCTTTACAGTATCCTGAAGACCTTGTGCCATCAATTTCCCCTGTATTTCCTCATGGCTTTGCATGTCAGCCTGCGTGAAGAAAAAAGGCTGGAAGGCTGATATTCACAAAAATGCAGAGAGGCATCACATCTTCCCAACCACCTGCTGTGATATCCAGCGTGATTTGAAGGTTTTCTTTGCTGTTAACACCTTGGAACAGAGATGTGTGCTATTCATCAGGATTTAAAAATCAATATTTCATTTTGTAACAGGAAAACAGGCCACTTTCTCCATCCCAGACATGTGCTAAGTGTGGTTTGCACTTTTCATTCAGGCTATCAGAAAGGGCTTGCTAAACCCAGGATAAGTGGGTGACTCACTCATTTCCAATGTTTCCTGGACACCAAGGAATAAAGAGACACCCCTCCAGGCCTCGGTTCCAGTGAGGGCCACAACATTACTGATAGTAAAGACTTGCAGCAGAGAGAAAGGTAGCATGCACAAGAGCTAAAAAGGTTACTGCAGGCATACACTCTTAGTCTGAGGCAGCAAATGCTCAGCCACCTCTGAGAAACTCATCCTTGCTGGGATTCCAGGATCAGTTTAAGAACTAGTTTGGGCTCCTCATAGCTGCACATGTCTCACAGGAGGACAACCCATGTCTATCACAACCCCTTGCTCCTTTGAGTGAGTGAGCCCAGCAGTCCTCAGGAAGGTTCAGGAACAAAGTGTCCATTCTCCAAGTCAACATAAGAAGAGAAGGAGAGCCTGCTAGGTCATGTCAGTGACCCATCTAGACCAGCATCCTGTTCTCCCAGTGGCCAACCAGATGCCTGTGAGAAACCTCCAAGCAAGGCCCAAGTATAAGAGCAGTCTCCCTTTCTGTGGGTTACAGCAACTGGTATTCAGAAGTCTTACTGCTTCTAACTGAGGCATTTATTCATGGCATAGAGCCTATGCATTAAGGGCACACCTATCCACTTATCCATGAATGTCTGAGGGAAAGTTTTGTTGATGTTGCCAGTGTCGTTTCAAAGTGTTGTCCGTTTCTCGCAAGTAGCTGAACCCAGATAGACATGATTTCCACCAGGGAAGAGCAAAACATGGGAATACCTTTGGCTTTTTTCAGCTTCTGTGCCCCCTAAACACAGCCCAATCTGATGTGGCTGCTCTTTTTTCCTTTGTGATTCCAGGACCCGCAACCCACTTGAGGATAAGAAAGACACAGGGACACTGTACATTAGGTTAATGGGATAAAAAAGGCCACAACTTTCTTGATTACAGCATGTGAGAGGTATTGGCTTAGGCACTGGATAAAACAACAGAGTGTGACTCCACCCCCTCAGGGAGGGGTGAGTCTATCAAGGGTTAACCACCAGTGGGAGGAGCCTGTTGATGCAAATACAACTACAAGCTCCCCCTGATGTCACCGGGGGTCGTGCCATGGCCCTAGCCACCAGCAAGGGCATCGGACAGCATCTACAACCACCAGATTCTTTTACCGGAATACCCATAAAGTGGAGCTTGTAGTTGTATTTGCATCCACCCATAAAGTGGCCACACCCTGCGCTCCAATACACAAACATATTCCAATGCCTAACCGCCAATACCTAAAAAGTTGTGACAATTTGCTACGAGGTAGGACGCGCGTGTCGCTGTGGGTTAAACCACAGAGCCTAGGACGTGCTGATCAGAAGGTCGGCGGTTCGAATCCCCGTGACGGGGTGAGCTCCCGTTGCTCGGTCCCTGCTCCTGCCAATTTAGCAGTTTGAAAGCACATCAAGTGCAAGTAGATAAATAGGTACCACTCTTGCGGGAAGGTAAATGGCATTTCCGTGCGCTGCTCTGGTTCACCAGAAGCAGCTTAGTCATGCTGGCCACATGACCCGGAAGCTGTACGCTGGCTCCCTCGGCCAATAAAGCAAGATGAGCGCCGCAACCCCAGAGTCAGCCACGACTGGACCTAATGGTCCCTTTACCTTTACCTAGGCGAAAAACCAAGTGGCTGGTGCCAATTTGCCAGTTGAATAAAAATTCCTACCAGGCCCCTTGGCCAACCAAGGTGACCAACCACAGGTCCATAGCAATGTCAAGAACCAAGCAATGAAAGAAAGGGTGGGTGGGTGGGTGATCCGACGAAAACCAGCAGCACAATGGACAGGAAGCGCTGCCGCGTCTGCATTTGCGTGGTGAGACCCTGCCCCCAAGCCTCCACCTGATTGGTTGGCTACCTGGGGGCATGGCACAGCAGCTGGCACAGCTGGGCAGGGGCCGAAACGTCCCCTGCCAACGCGGGAAACGGCTCCTGCTCACAACTCTTCCCCTCTGTAAGGAGGAGAGGCTTTATCACAATCTAAGCGGCAAAAAGGCTACCTTTCCTGTGTGCCTTGTGGTAAGACTGAAAAGCCAACTCTAAAAATTAAAAAAACTAAAAAAATCCTTAAAAGTGGTACCTACAGGACCGCATCTCTTGGTATGCCCCACAGAGAGCATCAAGGTCCATAAATAGCAACACTCTAGAGGTCCTAACACTCTAAGGAAGTCAGATTAGTCTCAACCAGGGCCAGGGCCTTTTCAGCTCTGGCTCCGGCCTGGTGGAACGCTCTGCCTCATGAGACCAGGGCCCTGCAGGATCTGATTTCTTTCCACAGGGCCTGTAAGACAGAGTTGTTCCGCCTGGCCTTTGGCTTGGAGCCAATTTGATTCCCTCCCCCTCTTTCTTTTTTCTTTTCCTTTCTCCTCCTGCCATGAGGCTACATTTTAATATTTTAATGTTTCAATATTTTAATGTTGTATTTTAATTTTGTTTTTAAGTTGTATTCATTCAACTTGTTTTTAATATTGCTTGTTAGCTGCCCTGAGCCTGGCCTTGGCTGGGGAGGGCGGGCTATAAATAAAAATTATTATTATTATTATTATTATTATTATTAAATATTTCCCCTTTTTAAAAAATCCTATAATAAGAGTTTGAAACAAAGAAGACAGGGGAAAAGGTTTTACTAATGGTTATAATGGCTATTTCTAGAAACTCTGGAGAATTGTTATGTGGACTTGCATACAGTATACTCACATGCATACATAAAAGAAACCTTTGCTTTGTTAGATTTCATGAAGAAAATGAACCAGAGTGACAGAAAACCTCGGGGATAAAGTTGTGTTAGCTTTAAAATCCACTTCCCTATCCCAGCAAAACCAATTCCCCCTCTTATCCACCTGCATAACAAGCTCCCACATCCAAGAGGGTTCAGGCTGATGTCAAGAGGTTGCCTGACATAATAATTCAATAACCAGTGATTTGATAACCAATTTAGCAGCCACAGAAGTGGTTTGTAGGTATGAAAATGTTGAGAGGACTACTTGACCTGACATGGGAGATCTGTGATTCACATCTCAAAGGTCCTGCTATAATAAATGACCCTGTATGAGAATAGCCTAGAGTATGTTTCATAACCATACTAATTTAATATGAAATATTTAATTCCCATTCTTGCCCATCCAATAATACTTCACATTAGCAACACCTTAGATCAAGGTTGAAGTACCACCCCCACCCCACCCCACCCCACCCCACCCCACCAAAAACAAATCCTGGCTGGGGCTGCTGAGTTAGGCAGCAGCAACATCTATAGGGCCAAATATTCCCCATACCTGCCTTAGATACAGCACCAAATGTCATTAACGTCTATTGAAAGTGTCTACCATTCACAGGGAACATTGCCAGTGGTTAATAGTAACCCAGTAATCCAGAAAGCAGTTAAGAATATGCATTACTTTCTGAACTGTAAGAGAAGTGTGTCTTCCCATAATTGTATGCCATTGTTCATGCTCTGAGGTTATTTGCATGTGCAGACACCTCTGCCATAGGGCACTTTTCTCTTGGCTTATGGCAAATTTCTAATAAAATTTGCACACTCTTAGAAATCAAAAGGGTGTTTTGTTTTAATGTAGAGTGCAAGGGTAAGAGAAACTTGCTTTTCCGGCACTTGTCGCACTGAAATCTATTATCACTCAACGCAAATCCAGTTGATTTCTCTCTCTTCAAATATATATCTGACAATGAGACCTGGATGCAGATCTTGTATCACTTACATTCTGTCCTGGTCTTCTATGTCATCTTAAAGTTCATGTAAACATCCAGTTTAACTTCTGGTATGTGTTTCAATAAGGTGTCATTTTATCAGGTAGAAATCACCACCATTGTCCTTTTTATTTCACAATCACACAAACAACATATGTATTCCAAGATAATGTGATCAAGAGAGTCTTGCTTGAAGTCTAATGTTCAGTAAACCATGTCTACGCTGCTCAGATCTGATGTGCAAATTTGATAAGAGTGAGAGACAGAATTCAGCATTTAATATCTCCAGGCAATCGCAAATCATGAAAACAGTATAAAGTGCAGAAACCTCTGCAAGTGTAGCTTGAAATGCTGGCATTTCCCTGCAGTCTGAATACGACTCCATTGTCATAATTAGTTATAAGCTATGTATTATACATGCAGAACTTTAAGACATAAATTAGATATTAATGACATTCACATCCCTTATAAACAATGTTCTGCTACACCGTGACAAAGCAAGAAGTGAAATTCCTACACCCACACACTTTCACTGATACTGATTTAAGGTGCAATGTTCTTGTTGTTTTTAAAAAGCCAACTCTTAATTTCTATTCTCCCCCTTTCAGTGTTCCTTCCCCCCCCCCCCAATCCATCCATCTGCAGAGTACGCTATGAATTTACTTTACACCAGTGGCAGCCAACATGGTGCCCTCTAGCTCTCCAGCCTCCATTATCTCTGATCATTAGCCTTGCTGGCCGGGGCTGATAGGAGTTGGATACCAACACATGTCACATTGCATGGAGTCATGGTTTTTGCCAGCATACAGCGTGCTGTTATTTGAAACTTTTATTTTGCACCTAGACCTTGGAGGCTCAGGATGATAGACCCAAGATCAGCTGCAAAATCAACTGTAGGAGAAGTGATCAGATCACAACACTTACAGTCACACTTTGCCCAGAAGGAGCTACTTTTCTATGCCAGACCACTAATTTCTTAAGCTCTTCTCTAAAGCTATCATGGAGCCAGGCATATATGAAGGGGTTGTAGCATGCTGAACTCATGGCAAACCAGTGGCAAACCAGCTGGACCAGGCTGAAATAATAAGGATCAATTGCATTTATGTTAATGTCCCGGATGAGATTGAAAGTGTGGAGAGGAAGCCAGCACACCCCAAACACCACTACTACCATGACCAGCAGGCAGAATGTCCTCTTCCGCCTGGCTCTGTCCCAGTCTGCCTGAGTCTGAGTAACACACCCTGGCACAACCCTGTTCTTCAGCTTGAGAAAGATCTTGAAGTAAGAGATCAGAATGGCTAGCAAGGGGAAGAGGTAAGTGATCAGCAGCAGGCACAATGCATAGGCTTGTCGCTGGCGCTCTTGCTCCCCCCAGAATTCCTCGCACAGGATGACACCCTGTTGATGCAGCTCCACATAATAGGTGTGGGCCATGGCTGGTAACGCCAAGCAGCAAGAGAGAATCCAGATGAAGAGGACCATGTACGCACTGAGCTGCAGAGAGATCCGGCGTCGCAGGGGGTGCATGATGACTATGTACCGGTCCACGGAGATGGTGGCCAAGGTGAAGATGGAGATATAGACTGTGACCGGCTGCATGAAGTAGACAAAGTAGCACATTGTGCTGCCAAATATCCAGCCGCGTGGCTCGAAAATGTAGGCGAGAGTCAGGGGGACGCAGGTTGTGCACATGGCCACATCCGAAAGGGCCAAGTTCCCAATGAGGAAGTTGGTGACGTTGTGCATCTTCTTCACACGCAGGATGACGTGAACCAGAAGGCAGTTGCCTACCATCCCAATAATGACCACACCTGTGTACATCAGAATGATCAACAACTTCAACCGTTGCACTAGCTGCAAACCATGGAAAACCATCAAGGTCCCATTCATAGCAATGTTGTAAGCCACTGGAGTGAAGTTGGTCGGAATGGTACCTGAACCTTCAAAGAACTCAGACATTTGGCCTGCAGGATGATAAACCATAGATATTAGTGAGTTCTCTGGACCCAATGTTACAGTGTTTAGTTAAAGTGCATCTGTAATTCAAAATAGTACATCTATGTTTACAACCTCAATGTCATTAATATTAATAGGGAGAAACGTATAGAAATTAATAGGGAGAAAGGTATAGAAATTGATTTAATTTTGTCATTTGATTATTGCCATTTTTTGTCAGGAACAAGGGAGAGCAGAAGGGGGAGGGATATGAAGAACCATGGGTTAATACACTTTTCCATATAAAAGAGGTTATAAAAATTCTAGGCTTTGGAAAGAGATGAGAAACAGCATGCACATTTCAGCATAATAAAACATTTTTCATCCTCTGATTTCTGAGCCTTTAGCAAGCAAACACCCACATATTTCAAAGGATTTCTATAGATCCCTAGGAGCTACAAACTTTATTTAAAAATCAGGGAAGGCATGAGAGTCACAAAAAAATGCAGTTGCTGTATTAGATGTGGCAGGCAAAATCATCTCCCCTTTCCTTGCTATATATTCAATTATTTTGGGCCCAAAACTGATAATGTAGAAAACAGGGTGGGTGGACAGGATTAGAAGGAAATTAGGGACAAATAACTAGGCCCAAGAAACTGGCTCACATTAGGTGGAGGTGGAATTTAGAGTACAATTTCAGTTATCCTCCTCTTGCTGGATCTTTTTGCCTCTGGAATCTCCACACAGATATCTTCTGCCACTTCACCAGCTGTCTTTCTTTTAGTTGAGGAAACACTGGACTATCTGGAAAAATAACAGACTTTAGCCACAGATTCTGAAACCATGGGCACTGAGGTCACCTTCCCCAAGACAGGTCTCTTTGCAACTGCTGCTAATCATTACGCACCTTCTGGCTGAGCCATCTACAAAATGGACTGATGAAAAATGTGCCACTTACACAATCCTCCATGCCTGCCAAGCCCAATCCTGTAAATTCTTCACTGCTGGGGAGAAAATAATTTAATCACCTCCAGTACATAAAGCACTATCATGCAAAAAGCTGTTTGAATACACTACAGAACTTCCAGACAGAACTGATTAGAAATTGAACTGGACTGTGACGATATTTCTGATTGGCATGTGCATGCCTGATACATGTTCTTTCCCTAGTAGAGAGAACTCACGCCATGTTCCTAATGTCCAATAAGTGAAGGGGGGAAGTCTGAAATGCCTTGCTGGAAGAATGATGATTTGAAAATAGTTGGTTTTTGACTAGGGCTTAATATTGCAAATGAGTTAATCAGAGATCAAAAACAGGTGATTGGCAAGAAGGGTTTGTCTGTTTTTAAAACTGATTGGCTCTTCTGCAGAAAGGATAAATCTGGAATAAATAGGGGGGAATATGGATTGGCATTTTTATGCCTCCAGAGTTGTGTGGTTGCTTACATGAGCTGAAGTGATCCCACTAATTAAAACTTGCATGGAAATACCTTGTATTTGTGTAGTTTTCTTTCTCATCAGAGAGAATGAGGAAGTTCAGACTGAACTCTTCATACATCAGGGAGTCCTACACACTCTGTATCACACCAGATATAATCCATACAGGTTCTGTGGGACTAACCACTGGACACATCTTCCCTCATCATTCTTTTTTAAGCTGGTCCTTCACACATTCTGGAGTCCACTTCTCATCACCCTACCCAAGTCTCCATATCCCTCAAAGTGAAATAAGCTGAACACTTTGGGTAAAAATATATATAAATAAACAGCCCTCCAAAATTGTGATGGCTCTTCTACAAGCAGAAGTGCAACCTCCACCTTCTGAGGCACATGCATTTAACATACAGCTGAAATTATGGGAGGGGGGGACATTTATCTCTCAGAGGATAAATGTGGGGAAAGGTAGTGATAATATAATTTAAGTTTTTACTGGGGATTGCAGAGACAATGAGATAATCAGATAAAGAGAACACACTGTTGATTACAAGAGCAAAGCAAGTGAATACAGGTTTAGAGAAGCTCATGAACTATGGGGATATTTATTGATCACATATATATGCCTCTCTGTACAAAAAGAGCTGAAAAAGATCTCTGAGCAAGAGCACTATACACAACAAGCTGCATGCAACTGATGCTGAGAAACAGGCAATAATAATATGCACTTACTACTAGTCAGCAGAAGAAATCAGCTAAGTGGGATTCACAGCTTCTACATCTTTTACCCTACCTTTGCTTGGGTAAGCTGTCTTATTCACTGCAAAGAAGAGGCAGTCCAGGAACTGGTATCACTGTCTTCCCGAGTCAATATGCTTTGCCTGGCTTGTGAAACCAGCCAAACTGTTTGATGAGCAAGAGTTTAAAGGAACAGGGCTTGATTTTGCTGGCATGTCATGTCATTCCCCTCCCCCTTTTCTGTTTACTTTTCAAATGGTAAGAGTTCATTGGCTGGAGCACTGAGACTCTTTCCCCACTGCAATACCTCTTGATTTCAGCAATCTCTCGCATTTTATTCCAATACTTCATTTTCTTGGGGGTAAATATATGCATGTAATAGAATTTCTATATTAATTAATCCTCAGTGTATTCTCTCATCTATCCCCCATCCCCAAATGCATGATTCTGGGTTCTGAAAGACCTAAAACTATTTAGAAATATTTAATTAGAATCCTTAAAACATTTCATATACTGAGGGTTACAAAGCATACATGCTTTAGGGAACTCGTTTTTATCTGCCAGTTTTCAGAGAAGGTAGAAATATCACAGAGGCATTAGAGCTGATAGTATAATGGAGAGGTAAGCCAGTGTCTCTGCTTTGTCAAATCCCACATTGACAGGTTTAGGATGCACAAGCTGTGGATGCTCTCCATGGTGCTGAAACAACCAGTGAGCTAGTTCAGAATGTTCCACGCTTCCAAGAGAGGTTCAGACAAATATATGCTGAATCACCTTAGTTGGAATTGTTATATTGTTATTATAGAAACTATGTTTTTATAAGTAACTAAAGATACTTCCCACCCCTCACCCTCAGTACTCCCATAGAATGGATAATAGTATAAGGTTTTTCCATGACTTTTAACATTGTTTCCAAACTAGTTAATAACTAAAACTTGGGAAGGGTAATTTCATCATGGCTAACAACAATAGGAACCTAATTGTACTCTGGAATTATAACATTCACTCTTTCAAACATCACCAGATCCACTGGTCATATGTCATTACTGTTGTTGTTATTTTATATTTTACTTCGAACCAAAGTTTCAAAGTGGCTCACATCAAACAATAAATAACAAACCAACAGCAACAACAGCAATAATCAATCAATCAATCAAGGTGGTCCAGAAACTCAGATGAAAGTTTTAACTGAATTCAGTTAGTGGCTTAGAGTCCAAAAATTTCTCCACTGCACAAAATTTTTTCAGACAGAAGAAAACGAGCATTTTGCGAATTCTGGCAAATAGATATTGGTACACAGTTCAGTAAAACTTTACCCACAGCAAAGAAGAGTACATGCCTTTTAGCTTACTCCCTTTGTCTCTCAGTAATGCAGATGTAGGGGTACATATGGCATCTTATATCTGTATGTGAGCAATTTTTAAAATAAACAAAATCCTATTTATTTATTTATTTATTTATTTATTTATTTATTATTTTATATACTGTCCTTCATCTGAAGATTACAGGATGGTTCACAACAAAAAAAATACAAAATTAGAACACAAAATACATGATAAAAACAAGAAGAAAAACAAACCAATAATCCCCCTCCCACATTCTCCACTTTGATCTGCTATTCTGTTCCTGAGCCATTCTGTATAAAATGAAGCTCTGTGTTGCCCAATTCACTACAAAGTGAAATCTAGAAATAGCTCCAACTTTCCCCCTTTTTGGCCAAATTGTTTAAAATTTGCAGGCACAGGAGTCTCTTCAGAGTGGATTAAGCCTACCAAATTGCTGCCAAATGGTTTTTTGTGGGGGGGGGCAGCATTCTCTTGCTTTTTCATTCCTTAAAATAATCAAGAGGCGGTCAAGTGGTGTGTATAATTGCTTGCACATTTTTAGAAGCTTTGTCATTTCACCCCACAACCTTAGTTTCCAGTGCCCTCCACTAGACGTATGAAATTACTGACAAATACTGTAGACAATACTGAACTACATGGCCTAGTAGTCAGACTCTGTATAGAGCTTCCTGTGTTCCTATGTTCCTAAGGCATAAATGGGAGCCTGTGTATCATCACACACAAAAACCTCAGAATTAGGCAGAATGCTATAATTCACTCTGGACTTGATCTATCCATGGCTCGGGGATGGTAACTAGTCCTGTGGCAGAAGTTCATATACTAAAAACCTCGATCTCCAGCATTTGGCAGAGTTATAAAGGTCACTGCTTATGACCAAAGAAATGATACTCTCATTGACTTTAAAGAAACTGGGCAATAATAAAAGCTAAGCATGTCTAGTCCATTTAGCTACACATCCATCAAACAGACAAGATTATAGCACTTCTATCGCAGTTTTTGTTCATTCCCATATCCCCCTATTGTATCAGCTTTAATTGCCTTTGTTTTATTCATAAAAGCTTCTTGTTACCATTCTATACAGATACACTTCATGATACAAAGATCGCATTCTGAGCCCTGTCTATAGAACTCTGTATACTTCCATCAGCTGCTTGATTTAGCAAAGCAAATGTGTGTTAATATGGAGGGGAAAGGGACGAATACAATAGAAAGAGGGCCGTGAGTTACTTTCAGTTATGTCAACGTAAATCCAGAGTAATGATATCATTTTACAGAAAGAAGCATACAATGGCACAGATCATTTCACATATCCCAGCAGAGCTGTTTCACACTTAGGTGAACAGTAATGACCGAGTCAAATCCCCGGTGTTTATGAGCAGATTAGTGGAAGAAATTGCTTCACAGAATAGGCAGGTTCCACTAACATATGTATATTGATTTTGGATTTGTGAATCATTCTGATGTTAATGAAACTGCATCAGCAAATTAAGTTGGGATTTTATGTCC